GACTTTTATCCAGCAATAGGTTTTGGGGATGGATGATACCAGCCTCCAGAAAGGACATATTGAGGCGACCCCTAAGAGCAGGGCATGTGTATTATTCCTTATTATCTAGCGCTTAGTGCTGCCTAGGACGACTATTGTCGTTTTTTGAGCCTTCTGATTGGTCCTTGACAAGGTCATTTGTACGTTCGTAGGTCGTTTCGTTTTGGGTTCCTATTGTTTAGAGTTGCCCAACACAGAAATGATATACTGGAAAGAATAATTAACATCTGCTTAAAAGCTACTTATTTCAACGTATCAGTAGTCTACACCTATGAAAAGCACAAAGTATCACTTCTTTAAATCAAGCACATGACTATTACTACTATTAAATTACGTAATAGCCCAATGTTCAATCTTTACCGCTTCATAATACGACACCCAGCTATACAAAACATTTTCATGGGTAGGATTTAACAACCACATAAGGTTTTCAAAATGAGACGAGATAACTTAATACACTAAAGAAGAAATGCTAGCAGTCCCCCTAATAAGCGCCTAGTCATCGCCTTCCTTGACGACCAGGGCAATGTTAGCTGGTATAGGGTCACGCCGGAAAATAGCTAGCGGCGATCAAACCAAAACATGGATTCATCAGTCAATGAAATCCACAACAGTTAGTTTAAGCTAGCCACGTATGAAGGTGTTGACTTCATGGCTGGTTGGGGTCCTCGGGACGGGAAGAACCAATAAAGGCTCGAGACAACTGATGGCGATATGGCTCAAAACCGTTATCAATGCCTGGTGCAGATGCATCCACTACTTGTGACTTATAGTTTCTTCGTTATTACCATTCCTTTTGTCTCACATCTCTGTTTACTGTCTCTATTTTGCATTTCTTCTACGTTTTTCTCTTGCTTTGTATGCTACAAGGAGGGAGTGTGGCGAATTGAACTGCTGCACATGGGTGCAAAGTTCTTTGTCGTATACAGACAGGCAGACAGACAATATAAAGGAAAACAAATCAGTCGTAGTATGAAGGTTGTAGAAAATATTTTAGGGATGGTCACATGAAAACATGAGTGTCAAGGAGTCAAACGTTGGTTTTAACAAGATAAGGGAATGTAGATTGTCCGACAGATATAAGCACTGGAGACTATGGGTTGCATGTGTAGATGTGACTTTCATTGGCTTAAAGACCAGATTTTTATCCCCAGTTAGTCTCGTTTCATCTATTTCAGCTTGACCAAATAGGTCGCATTATTAGCTCTTAACACAATCGGTTACACAACTAATGTGGCTGGTGGCCTGGTAAGTGTCAGATTTGTTTCTGGTAGTAGAGTTTTGAACAAAACAGGTGACCAGTGGCAAACGGACAACAGAGGAATTACTAAAAGAAGACAATTGACTGAATTTTCATATTCCTTGAAGAACTGAAGATAAGATTTTGATTTTCATGAACAACTGATGCTGTAACCTGACTGATGTGAGGCATACTTAGAAGTAAGACGCAAATGTTACCTTACAGACTATCTATGTACCGGGACATCAAATGTGCCTGTTGGGATAATCTAACATAGAGGCTGCTTAATTCAAACCAAAATTTGGTGGTTGAGTTCAGAACCAGCAGATCCAAGGTATACTGTTAGCAACTCTCCTAACGAATATGGAATCGTTCCGTCCATCTCTACAACATTATTCAAGAAACGCATTCTTGAAACTCAGCATCACTGGTCAAGAATCTATGCTGCAACCATCAAGGATTCCATTGACGATTTGTAGCTCCAGATTCGTGGTCAGACTACATGTCTATACTACGAAACGGATTGCAAAGATATCTAGCTGAACTAAATGGAATCCTATAACGAATATCTCAACTTCTTGACTGTACCCAGGCTTTCTGAGCTAGTGTGTTACTCGTCGAGCAATATTAGCTGATATTAAACTAGGTTAGAGAAGAGTTAGGAGTGGTCAAACCGATAAGAAGACTCTAGAAGATCTGGATTTCGCGTGCGCATGATTTATGTTTAAAATCATACACTCGAAAACCAACAAACTGGCAGAGAATACAGGACTCCAGGTGAACATAGAGAAGACAGAGATAACCAATCACCATCAACAGGAGAAATTTGAAAAAGGGTTACTTCCTTCACTTATCTGGGAAGCATCGGTGACATGGATGAAGAGGTTAAAACCAGCCAGAATCGATTAGGCAAGGTTCACTAGCACTCTGAAATCAGTTTGGAAATCTTCTGTACTCTGCAGCATAAAGAACAAAATTCGGTTTTTCAACACCAGTGTTGCTTAAGTCAGTCAGTTCTTCTAATATGGGTCAGGAACTTGGCTCATGCGTTACAAAAAGCATTAACAACAGACTACAGAATTTTGTCAAATGGCCAGAGAGAATTAGCAACAAGAAACTGTAGGAACGAACCATCCAAGAACCCATTGTTCAACAAACATGTAGGAGAAAATGGAGATGGATTAGGCACACACACATCACTGAGGAGACCGTTGAGTAACATTACAAGCCAGGCTATAGCTGGAGTGAAACCTGAATGGGACACGATGAGTTGGGCGTATTTCCAAGGTCGACATGGAAGAGATCCTGAGAGGAGAAAATGAGAAACTATGGACAAGCTTGGGCCCAGCTAAAGAGGACAGCAAAAAAAAGTAGAACAAAGTGGAGACGTACTGTTGAAGCCCCATTTCCCACTTGGAACCCAAGGGAACAATGATATAATATAATGGTAAAACGAGCCCCGGCAACGACCTATAGAATCTTTGACTGCTAACCTGAGTCACGTAAGGTGTAGACTACAAAGGTGGGTTCCCGAGAGCGCTTGGAATCAATGCCTGGAGACGGCTGGTGATATGGTATAAAATCAATCTCAATGGTGTAGATATATTCACCCTCATATTTTTCCTTGTTATTGTTTCTCCTCTCCTCTCCTCTACTCATTGTAATTCTTTTGAATCTCTAAATTCCCTACAACTTGAACACCTACACATCAGTACAAATCTCTATGTTGAAAGTCATTCAGTCGGCAGTTAGTACTCAAAACAGAAATCTTTGATAAGTTTCTAACTATGGTGGCATAGTGGTTAGGACGCTCGCCGACCATGCACATGGTCCGGGGTTCGATCCCCGGCCGACACACTCCTTTACCTCGCTAAGCCAGAAATCATGCTGGTGAAGAGAAAAGGTTGGGCATGGGGCTAGCAACCCCATCCTGTAAAATAAACAGTGCTACAGGAACTTCAAGGCACTAGCTTGGAGCCCTATGTTCCACTGGAGAACGTGAAGGAAAAAAATAAAATGGTATAACAAATATACCGCAGGCAGAAAGGAGATCTCATTACAATGTTTAAAATTTAAAATAATAACTTAGGAAATAATCTATTTTCTCTATTCCTTCCCACCAGGGTGGAACATCTCAGAGTACATGGCAGGACTACACTGACTCCTAGCTCAGAAATAAGGTGGGAAGTGGTTGGTGGAGTGTGTTGACCGCTTCACTTTTTGTTGAGAAGTTGCATTAACCAGTGCCAACAAGTTGATCTCTGACGAGATCTTAGCCCGGATAGAGAAGGCTTGTTTCACATATGCTAGTTTACGCTGTCTCTGGCCTAGTAGACGTGATATCCAGCTATCGAATGAAGAGCGTGTGTGTACTGCTCAGCAATCCGCTCCGTCCTCCTTTATGGTCAGCTGTGAGACCTAAGCATTGAGAGTGGAGGATATTAAAAGGCTAGCTGTCTTTGATTATAGTTGCCTGTGTTCTGTCTCTCGTGTGAAGTGGTATAATAGGGTGAGCAATATTGAGGTTAAGCATTGGTCGAGTGCTAGGGAGGGAGGGGAAATCAATCGACGAGGCTGTGAAGTTACATCGATTGAGTAATACGGTTAGGACGTGTATTACGTATGCCTAGTCATAGGGTCACGCTGAAAAAAAGCTAGCGGCGGTCAAACCAAAACATGGATTCATCAGTCAATGAAATCCACAACAGCTAGTTAAAGCTAAACACGTAGGAAGGTGTAGACTTCATGGCTGGTTGGGGTCCTCGGGACGGGAAAAACCAATAAAGGCTCGAGACAATTGATGGCGATATGGCTCAAAATCGTTCTCAATGGCTGGCGCAAATGCATCCAATCCTTGTGACTTATAATTTCCAATGAAACTATATTGTTTTTCGTTATTACTATTCCTTTGTCTCACATCTCTGTTTACTGTCTCTATTTTGCATTTCTCTTGCTTTGTATGCTGCAAGGAGAAAGTGTGGCGACTTGAACTGCTGCACATCGGTGCAAAGTTTTATGTCGAAAAGAGACAGATCTGGGAGGAGGGTTCAAAACCCAATCAGAAACCATATCGCAGTGGAGTACTGGAACTGGAACCTTCAATAAATAATGTCAGAGCCTTCAATTAACACTCATTCAAGAAGGGTTTGGACAAGCACAGAAATTTACTAGAAAAGGATTAACACAGACTTCAAGCCGCTTATCTTCAATCAACAATTCTCAATCTCAATGTAATGAAGAAAATTCGTCAGGTGATTGATGACCAATAAGACTTGAAAGTATGATCTTGAAAGTGTATATGCGTTTGGTAGGTGACTATTGTTACTTCCTAGCTGGCCTGACCGAAAGCTGCTACCTTGACGTGGTGGTCGGGCTTGAACACCGCAATGACCCAACAAACTATATTGGCTGGAACTTATGTTCCTGTAGCTCCTACCATGCCAGAAAGGTTGTTTGGATAGCGGTTAGACAAAAAGCCGTTACCCAACCCAATTCAATGACTCCAAATAAATCACAAAATATTATGCCGGATCGGTCGGGACCTGGATTAACAACGACCGTGCTCCCTGCTGCCGTGTCACAGGGCAGAAGTGATAAATGTGCTACTGAGACACACCAAATGAAAAAACAACTTCCTAGCTGGCCAAACCACAGGAGACAATTTCTCACCATTCATAAATAGATTTTAAAAAATCCTCAATTACATAAATAATTGACTTACCAGGTTATATAAATCCTTAGTATTTAATTTCCCGTTCAAATGTTGAGAATCACAATGCTCTGTTTGTATACTATTCACAGGATTATATGATCGATGCAAAGATTCATGGTTATTATTACCAATATTATTATTAGTATTATTATTATTATTAGCATTATTCTCCTCAGGTGTATTTACAATTGCACAAACACCATTTTCCAATTCACTAGAATTATACGTCCTTCGAATAGTCACTTTCAGTGAATGCAGATTTTGATCGGTACTTCCATTCATTTGAAATCGTGTTTCACGCTTACTACTACCACTACTGCTACCCTTTTTACGTAATTTCCGTTGATTCATATATCTACCAGATTTGTTACTGGTTGTTGTCGTCTTCTCCTGAGATGTATTCATCAAACCAGTTGTTTGACTTGGATACTTCGACTTAAAATCTTGGCGTTGAACACGATTAGGATGTGAGAAACAATTGTTTGTATTCGTGGATGAATGCATACGTGATAGTGCTGCTGCTGTTGAAGGGATTCTAGAGGCTTTAGAAGTACTTACAGCAGATGTACTGTTGTATAATCCATTTGACGGGTGTACATCAGATTTTGTGGAATCACCAACTAGCATTGGTGGTGTCTCCGCACAATGTTTATCCATATATAAACCAGGTGAAAGCTCTGAGGTAGTAGTAGGACCACGATGTCGCATACTTCCAATCATAGAAAGCTTTTTTTATGTATTATTGGCAATAATCCGGATGTGGAAATCAATTAACAACTTTTTTTTGAGCAAGATAAATGCTTAAGTAGTTATTGATTAAAAATTCCGTTTATAAGTATAAAATCCAACACCCATATCACAGGTATCTAAAGTAGTGGTGATCTTCCTCTATAAAACATTCCACAGATTATTGATCTGTAAAGAGTATATATATCCTTTCCTAGGCAGATTGATGATCAATCTATCTCTAATGTCAATCCAATGAATACAAGCCGATAAACAAAAAACCCAGTGGTAAGTACTCCTGACCCTATTTTTGTAAGCCTGTCTATCATCTACCAAGATTTCTATGTTTCTATGCTAATTTGATAGATAGAAAAAATAAAGAAGACTAACACATGAAATTGGCCAATCAGAAATAAGGTAGAATTGATCAATACACTATTTTGATTGGTTATCTTTGTATAATGGTTTACCTAGACTGTTTTTATAGTTACTTTTCAAGGGTGGTGTGGTATTGTCCTAGTAGTGACGATGAATTAGTCTTGAAATAATGCACCTATGAGTCACCAACCACCTCATTGTTCTTTCAAATATGGCTGATGTTTAGTCATTCCATGCACTTCATAGTCGTTTCTTTCACATAAATCTGTTTAGATTTACGCGGTTTTTTTTTCTACGATTGTTCTTAAGTTCACAAATCTGTAGGATAGCAATTATAAAAATAAATAATTTAGGTTGCTCAGTTCACATATTTTCGAAATCATTATACTTGCACTTAGGGTTTTAGGGTTATGTACTTCACTACAGGTTATTATTATTATTGTTCGCTTGGGTTCCTAGTGGAACATAGGGCTTCAACTGCACGTCTCCATTTGCTACTGTCTTCTGCTGTACTTTTCACTTGCATCCATGTTAGTCCATACTGTTTCAACTCCTCTTCACACGATCACTCTTCCATGTCTCCCTTGGACGTCCCACTACTTGCCGCTTCCCTTTCGGGTTCCACTCGAGCGTTGGCCTGACGCGCAATGTCACCCAGCAGCCTCCTCAGCCAGTGAGTGTCCAATCCATCTCCACTTCCTCCTGCATATTTGTTGGGCGATTGGTTCTTGTTTTGTTTGTTCCCATAATTTCTTGTTGGTGATTCTTTCTGGCTATCTGATCTTCAGTATAGAGCGAAGACAGCTGTTGTTGATAAAGGTCTGCAACAGGCTGTTGGAAATGCTCATTCTTTGTGACCCACTGGCCAAGTTTCTGATACGTATAGAAGGACTGACTTGACGTTTGTATTGAAAATCCGAATCATTTTGTTGTTGATGCTGAGTGATGAAGATTCCTAGATTGGTTTCAGGTTGATGAATGTGTTTCTCGATTTGCCATCCTCTTCCGTTCCTCTTGTAATTGAGACAATGCTCCCTAGATAAGTGAATGAAGTAACCTGTTTCAAATCCCTCCCGTTGATGGTGATCGGCGGTGGATGTTGCTGCTGTTGCTGTTGTTGGTTGGTTGGTTATTTTCATAACCTCCGTCTTGTCTATGTTCACCTGGAGTCCTCACTACAGGTTAAAAGTCCCAAATTTTAAATGTATAGTCCGTATTATCGCTAAATAAAATAACGAATTTGTGTTGAGATGTCTTTGAATTACAGTCAGTTAAAACTGTCGTATCTGAAAAATTTCAAGCACTGAATCCCATCTGAAGTTAGAGCATGGGGTGCTGCTCCATACCTGCGGCCATTCACCTTTGAAGTTTCACTTGTGAATCAATTTGAATGCATAAATTGTTTCTACAAGACTGTTGTGTTGACGGTCGATAGGTTCTTAGTGTTTTATACAAGCAATACAGGTGAAAGAAACACTACCTAGGTATTATTGATTGCTTAAAACTAGAGGAACTATGATTTGGGTAACGTTTACTCACTATACATCATACTTCAAAATAGTTTTCAGCGGGCTGCACTCTAGAATGAAGAAGGATATTAGTGTTGTATTGTAAATATAGATAGAAGTTGGAATTCATTAGCTATTGAATTCTAACCCGTTGACTGACCTGTTATACTGCAGGTCCTGTGTGATGTATGAAACCTAGTGGGGTCATAAGTGCTAGCAGCTAGAAAGTTTCAAAATAGAACGAAAAAGCTGTATACTATTCTATCTGATATTGGTTACTATTGTACTCTCCCCACTTCTCTTTTCTTTCTTTCTACATGACTTACCATCTTCAAATGACATTAATTTTTGTCAAATACGCTGACGATCTGTCTGTATCTTTGCCTATCAAATGTCAAAGCGACTGCTCTAAACTTAATGGCTTTCTGTCAGAAATCAGCCAGTGGTCCAAGGAAAATGGTCTTACTCTAAACCCCTCCAAATGCCAAACAGTCAATTTCACCTTGAGGCATAAATCCGACCTAAACAAACTGTTTGGCTCTCACGAGGTATGCAACATAGATGGCACTGAAATAGAAACTAAATCGGAAATTAAATACCTAGGTGTCATTCTATCTGCTGATCTCTCCTGGTCGTCTCATATCTTAGCAATTTCTAAGAAAATATTCCGTCTTACCTTCTACATCAAGAAGTTAAAACATTCTGGTATTACCCAACCCTTACTCCTACAATTCGTTAATTCTCGCATCCTGCCTATTATTCTCTATTGTTCCCCCTTAGTTTTTCCTACCCGGGCTACTGAAGAAAGACTATAACATATTACGCAGGATGTTAAAGGTTGTCAGCAGGGTAAGCAACGTGCCACTTAACCAGCTTGTTAATATGCTGGTCGACAGGCACATGGACTCATGTGAAAAATGGGCCAAATCCATTTATCTAACTCACACCAACCTCTTCACTCACAACTCTCCCCTTGCATCTCATCAGGTAAAACAAGAAGCCAATATAGAAAACTATATGCTCGCACCACCAAGTACAAAAACTCAACCATACCCTACTTAGCTCGTGTTCTGTGCGATAAAGAAAGCATTAGGCGTGACACCTATAATTCATTAAATAGTCATTAGTACAACTGGATCTCATCTTTCCAACCCACTTCATCAATAGGTGCAACATTTCCTTTCTTTCTTTTCCTCTTCTCTCTCTCTCTTTTTTCCGTTATGTGCTGCTTGTTTCTTTCTCTCGCTTACGCCAGTAAATATGACAGCACCTACTTTTCTAACACCTTCAAACACTGTTTCAGCTTTACCTTTGCTACTGACATGCCAATGTATTGTTGTAATAATGAACTGCGGTTTCCTCAATCTATGTAGAATTCTATTTATTGATAATGTACTAACTGGATGCAATACTGTAGTAAAAATGCTGAGAATTCCATTCTGTACCACAAGCACTGTTTTGGAATAAAGCAAATTATTATTATTAAAGTATCGTAATGCCTAATCTGTATGAGATGTATTCAATTTCCGTGATATCCAACCGGCTATCGACCAAAGGGTGTGTGTACTACTCAGCAATCCTCTCCGTCCTACTTTATGGCTGTCAGAGAGACATGGCCATTGGAAGTGGAAGACATGAAAGAGTTGGATAGCTGTCTTAGATCACACATAGGTGTCTGCTCTCCATCTCTCTTGTTAGGTGGTATAAAAGGGTGAGCAATATGGAGGTGGGGTGTTGGTCGAGTATTAGGTGGGGAGGGAAAATCAATCAACGAGGTTGTGAAGTTTTTAAAAACAAGTAATGTTCCTTTTATATATAAACCTCTGTTATGTTAATTTCGATTAATTTCCCTGAAGAAGTTCGGACCAGATTGCCGAATGAAACGTTGGAATTACTCATTTCAATATCGCTGAGATTTTACAAATATAATTTTTTACAAATGTCCACTTCTCACTTGGCGCCCAAATATTTTAGAACTACTCTGTAAAATCTTGACGACAGTTCATTTGAATTAAATCGATTAAGTGAGATGGTCAAGACATGTGTTAAGCCTGCATCCCTAGCCATCGGTCGCCTTCTTCGAAGATGGGCAATGTTAGCTGACACAGGATGGATCAGGTTGGAAAAGAGCTGGTACGTGGTGGCCAAATGAAAACATGGCTTCGTCAGTCAGTCAAATCTACAACAGTTAGTTTAAGCCAGCCAAGTAGGAAGGTGTAGACTTCATGGCTGTTTGGGGTCTTCGGGATGGTATCAACCAATGAAGGCTGGAGACAACTGATGGTATGGCCCAAAATCGTTGTCACTGGCTAGCGCAGATGCATCCACCCCTTGTGACCTATAGTTTCCAACAAAACTATATTGTTCTCCCTATGTTACTATTCTTTTTGTCTCACAACTCTGTTTACTGTCTCTATTTTGTATTTATGTTTACTTTCTTCTCTGGCTTTTTGTGTTAAATGAAGTGTGGCGACTCGAACTGCTGCACATCGGTGCAAAGTTCCACGTTGAAGACTGTCAATCAGTCAGTATTCAATTCCCAAGAAACTGATTCTTAGCTTTAGTCCTCTAGAATCAATTTCTGCGTAACTCAAAGTGAGTAACTCTTATCAAAATCGGTGATGACTAAATCCGGGACAGATTTTTGTTTTGCATTGACTCAGTTTCTTGGTTTTTGATAGTGTTCACCACTAGCAAAGTCAAACTTTATGAGCCTCGTGTTACCATTGAAGATATTTGTATTACGAGATTCACTTAGTAGTTAGTTCTTATCTGTCTCAGTGCGGTCACTCAATCGAAGATAATCGACAATATTTCTACTGAAATCATTATGTTTTAGTGTGATGTGTCAGCTGACAGTTATCCTGAGTAGTCAATATGGATCCGGAGTGTGAGACCAAATACTACAGCCTTATCAGCGTGGTCAGTCACGAATACACGAGACTTACCATCAGGGTGAACTTTTCGAATTAATGTGAGAGAGGTTGGAGGCAACCGCTTACAAGCCAAGCCCCTAGGTTACATGCTTATTGACATCCATCAACAAGGCATAACTAAAACCCAGAAAGAATTAATACCTCCCCCCTCCCGCCACACTCAAGTTCCAAACTCGCTTCCGTCTGTATCACTACGGTCTAGGCAGATAACTTCCGTTACTCCCCCAGTGACCGACCAGTCACTTTAACTATTGCTGACATACAATAAGTCAGTCATCAGAACACAAACCATAATGGAGATATCTCTGACAGTAGTACAAGATGACACTAATTCTTCTCTAACAGAAGATATCAGTTCCCTCAACGTTGTCAATACCCCTGACACTGATGAGTGCCAGCAAACACAAAACCTAGGGCTGAGGTTTTCCA